GGTACCATTTTTCATTGGTTTAATCAACAATGAAAAAATGAGAACACACAAAGGTTACGGGGAAGAGTCAAAATGAGTACTCTCACACAGCTGATCAGGGGTACTGATAGCAAACAACATTCCTAGGAATACAATTTAGCAACATGCATCACTATCCTTAATGATTCTATCAATACTCTACCTCAGGAGGTTTCCTCTCTTAGGAATAAGCCTATTCTTCCCTAGCGAATAATGTCATTTCATTTTAAATTAGTCAAGACAAAGTTGAAAGACAAATTCATGGCTCAACTTTAGGCATTCATCTCCTATTCTATCTGTATTCCCCCTAATTTTGATTTTACCTACATTTCCCATTTTTTTCTTGCATCTCACCTTGAATGCCATGCAAGATCTGTGAAAAGAGGCAGGATGTAAGTATCATAAGAATAGAGAAGATGAGCCTCCCACGGACCAGTTGTGGTATCGATATTTGCATTATTTTACAAAATGGAGAATAACTTTATTCAGCCAAAAGTGAGATTTTGCCTCATGTTACAAAGCTGAACACGATGCAGTTTCCATGAAATTGCCTCTAACCTTTTTAAGACACAAGCAGTACTATTTTCTTTTTTGGTGGGGCTGTCACCACACCACAGTGGAAGCCAGGAGATCAGATAATCACTCAGTTGGGCAGTGACTCCCTGTGAAGCACTATCTATAACATCTCTTTATGAGCATCTAATGAATAACCCATTCATGGCCTTTTCTGTCCCAAGGTCGAAGATTCTATTGAATCCAATGATAGGTTAAAAACCTTGATAAGTGACAGAAGAAAATATCTCACTGATGTTTTTCAGCTAATTAAAAAAAAGCTTATCTAACTTTTCTGGGATAAGATACCTTTGACTTGTCAAGAAGGACCTATGGAAGACACTTAAGTAGTAGATAGAGTTAATAAATGCCATACAGGCAAACCTGAAATACAATCATAGCAAATATGCAATGGAAGAGAACCTTGGGCAAGTCATTTTAACACTTGAAGCTGAGTGGCGGCCCTCTTCTAGCACAAGAGGCCTTGGGGGACAGGATCAAATCCACTTAATCCAAAGTGATCCTTTCTACATGTCAGTTTCCTAATCTGTAAAACTGGCAATAATCACTTCTCAGGATTGCTGGCAGAATTAAATTAGGTAAAATATGTAAAGCGTTATTACACTGAGTGGCGTGTAAGTCCTCAACATATAATGTTCTATAAAATGATACCAACCCATTGTTATGAAGATCAAATAATGAACACAGATGCCAACAAAAGCAATGAGAAGTGCAACAGACAAGAGGCACAATTATGACTGTGATGAGAAAACGGTTAATATCACCATAAATTCTGCTAAGCTACTGCAGACAGTATGAGTCACCCCTAATATAAACGATTATTTTTAAAAGCAATAAAACCTGTTGAGACTTCATCCAATGACAACTGTCGAATTAATATGAAATTTGTCAAGAGGTTTAGGCACTCTTGGACACAGCTGCCTTCCAAAGGATTTTGGGTGAGAGAAGATGTTTAAAGCTAGGGGACTTCAAATTCTGCCCCTTATATAATTAACATTTCTTCACTCTCACCCCTTAAAGAGGCAGCCACTAGTTTAGGGGTATCCCTTACAGGAGACAGGCTGCCTC